CGGTCTGTCCGAAGAGATGACTGAGATTAGTTGTGTCATCTAACTTGAGAATCACCACATTGGACTCCGGGAGAAACAAATCTACCTTCGCTTTGAAATGCTCCAATGAGGCCTCAAATGCTTCAAGGGCGTTGTCCCATGGGGCTCGGATGATTGTATGTCTTTCATATCTAAATGGGGCAACGACTTTAAGGCTCACATGTTTTTCAAAAGCATTTTTCCAAAGAACGTAGCAACTCCAAAGTTTTCTATTTGACGGATAAATGTTGCCATGATGCTCTCTAAAAAGTTTGGGATGAACAAAAGGAATTGCTAGTATTTCTGTGATTCTTTTGTCCATGACTTGGGTTGGGAATGAGTTGAGAATGTCTAGGACTGGGAGGAATGGGTTGGATTGGGAGTTGGCACTACTACAAAAGTGGTCTAAAGGCACGAACCAAATATCACAAAAACAAAGTTCATGTCTTTTTGAACTACATTTTACACAAATATGTAGTATTTGTGTGATATGTGAAGAAGACACAATAGTTTTGTGTCCAATGACAACAGAAAAAGCATGTTTCTTGTTACTTACACTATTATGGCTCAATATTGGGCACGAATATTGAATTTTGTGGCATTGTACCGCACACATTCAAAGTATGATAGTCTTTTTTTTTTTTTTTTTCATAATCAAAGTATGATAGTCTATACTCCATAGGATAGCACGGATATTGAAATTTATTGTTTATGGGTGAGTTTATGAATGAATATTGAGTTCTATTTTTTTGAGAATTTTGTTATGCCCAATATTTTGATATCAGTTAAATTTGCTTTGATTTGATTTCTGGTAATTTTTTAGCATCTTTGTTTTTGTTCACTGAATCTGATTGTATGCAGTTTTGAAATGGGAAGATGAAGATGTTAGAGAAATTGGAGGAAAAAAGTAGATCTGGATATTGGACGATGAAATTGTCAGGATTCCGGAGGGACTTTGTTGCAAATTATGTGGGCCATACCGCAAATCAATAAAATACAGAGATACTTAGACACTAAACTCACATGACTTTATCAATGAGGAGACACTCAGACACTAAAGTCATGTGGGTACAGGGACAACAACAAGAGTATATACATTTAGACCAAAAACAAAAACAAAAATAAAAACAAGAGTATATACAACAATTAATTAAACATATGAATATAAGAGAAGTGAGGAGGGCACTCTTATGAAAGAAAGTAGGTTGTTATTTTGAAATTTATTTGGTAAAGGTTGCTACAAAACTGATAGGGCCTTTCCCTGTCATAGCAGCTTGGATGTGTTGGGTCTAAAAAACAAAAACAAAATTTATTATCATAGGATCCAAAGATTTTGTAGTTGAAACCAGCCATGTCAGCTTTGAATTTGAGCTGAACCCTAACCAGTCCCTTTTCATGCATGGACTTTAATCTGTAGTTTACTTTACATTATGATAAAATACAAGTCGTCCACGTTGGCAATCCACGACTCACTAAAGTAGCCAATCGGGGACTTTTCCAACTGACTCTGCCAGTACTAGTTTCAGTAGGTTGGCTATATATGTAAATGTAATTAAGTTGGTTTGGTTGCTTAATATTATTCTAGCAAGTAAGGAACAACCCCACATAAGTCATCACTTTACTTTCGTTCGACATACCCTAAACCCTTTATCAAGTTCAAGTTGGCAATGGAATGGAAACCAATTTCTTGATCTTTATCGAGTCATTTATCTACTTTTTACATCCCTAAAACCGAGCGATTATACTCCTCAAATATATATTTTTTTATTTAAAGAGTATAGCATGCAGCTATACTCTTTAAATAGATTTTGAAGAGGAGATACCTCAAGTTTCAGTACATTAAAAATCTCACCCCATTGGCCATTCTTATACTCAACGCTGATGATATACTTAGCGCCCACTAAAATTGAAAAGAACTGGGTACATATAAATGACCAAATCTTAACCAATTGTTGTATTTATATTATGCATATGAAATCAATTCACTGTGCAAATGATTGGAAATTCCAAACAACATTAGATACGTTGTCAAAGAAATAAATGAATTGGATGATATGATACCACACAAGTTACCCTTGTCTTTGAATGATGTGTTCGTTAATGATATGATATGGGGTCATTGGAAAGTGGTTAGCAAAGAAAAAAGAAAAAGAAAGGGTGTTTGAATCCCACACGCTTTCCTCCACTCCAAATTCTTAAAAATGTTCATATAAAATGCTTTATTTGGCAACATATATCCTCAAATTTTTCATTTATTTTTACGTAATTTGGATTTTTGGGTTGAAATGTTCATAAAAAACATATGAAAATAAAGGATTAAAAAAATTTATGTATTGCAATGTATAAATTATGTACCTCAAGTTGCTCGTTAGATATAATGAATGAGAGTTTTGAGGTGTTGTGTGGAATTTGGTAAACTAGATTCCTTCTAGAGATATTTAGTCATATACCCATTGTTAGCACTAAAATTATAAATAAACCATACACCATTTAATTTCTATAAACAAACTTAAAAAAAAAAAAAGGCAAATGCACGTACATACTCACAAACCAGAAATCTTAATCAAGAATACTCACTTTGCAAATATTAACCACAAATACTCACTTCCTCATGTGAAAGTACTGAACTGCCCTTCATATAAATAGATATTATATTGACCATGTATCCTTCTCTGAAACCCAATTCCTCCCAACTCTTCCTTCCTCTCTCGCAGTCCTCTGTCGTCCCCATCGCACATCTAGAACGGCGAATCAATTCATAGCATTATAGCACATCTGGAAGAAAGGCATAACGCAAGAAGATCGTTTTCAAAATTTCTAGAGAATGGTAATGACAATCTTCTCTCTTCTCAATCCCTAGTTTTCTTGTTTTTCTTTTTATGTACTTTTATTTCATTATTTTGTCAAAATAAGTAATTTAAGTTTGCACAATTAAGTCGTTAGGGTTCCTAATATTACAACTCATATTCAACTCAAAACTTTTGCATTTGTTGTCTTTAGATTTGTTCCTAACTCTATGATAATTTTTATTTTTATTTCCAACGAGTTACATTAGTAAGCCACCACATGACCCACCCAACTACAGAGATTGATCACCAATTGCAAGTAATTAATTGGGTTTCAGTTCGTATCATGTGGGTTTCTGTTGAGTATTGATATAGTGATTCTTAATATGCTTCCGGATATGTTTTCTGCTGAAATTCCTTATATGAAGTGTATGAATTTTGAATTCGAAATTGTTGCATTTGCCTTATCAAAACCTGATATGGATGCAAATAGGTCTTGTTGCGATTGATTTTATTATTTATCAGAACATGGGAAAGCTGAAAATAGGTATCTTCATGAGATCCTTGACCAAAATTTGAAGTATTGCAAGAGCATTAAGTAGACCTCCCCTGATATATACTGCTTCAGAAAATTTTGGTTGTTCTGTTCACTATTGCCTTCTTTAGGAAGCTTATAAATTACATGTGGAGCTTCTTGAGTCAAACAATTCCACATTACCCCATTATTGTTCACCCTTTGAGGTGTTTTGATGTCTGGTTCTGTGCCTCTTATTTTGTTTGACAATTTCTTTGTGCTTTATGTGTTCCACTTTTTGCGATTTTCTCTTGTTGGTGTTCTAGGTTAGGAAGCTCCTTGCCAATTAGTCTAGGAATTTCGTATGTAATAGGGCATGAATGTCTTGTGAGAAGAATTGTAATTTATGTAGGAAGCTTTGGTAATACAATAACAAATGTTAGAAATTAAATGATTCCAATTACAAATGTGAGAGAGTCACATACTTTAACTTAATGTTTATACTTGCACTTTTCTGAATCTTTAGTTTTGTTGTCATACTTTGGTGAATAAAAAGCAATTGGGAATGTTGCAGAAATGGGGAGTGGGGAACTACACATGCGAGAGAATATCACCTTCATAACACAGCTCATCACTTAGAGGTTCGAGATTGGACAAAAGCTACTAGTTTCTTCACGGTTAGAAGATGGCTTGAGAAATGAAGATGCGCCACCAGTTTTGTTTCACCACATAAACATTGTTGTAATAGGAGTGGAATTGGATATTAGTTGTGCTTTGATGTGATCAGCTATTCCTTATTTATTAGTTGTGGTTTCATGAATTAGTAACCATGAAACTAGAGTGGATAGAGAAACTGCATCTGTATATGTTTAGCTAATAAGTAGCCTCGAAATGTAAACTCAAGTTTATGTATTGCGCCTTCTTATTATGCCTCTATTGTTGTCTTAACTATTTTTTCTCCTCTGTCTTGACAATTACAAAGCTAAAGTTGGACTAAGAGATTTACGTATTGCCTTCTTAGCACTTTGTTTTTCACCTCTTTTTGCAATTATAGAGTTAAAATTGGACTTAGGTTTACGTATTGCCTTCTTATTGCCCTTTTATTGTGTTCATATTGCTCCTCTATTGTTGTCTTTGCAATTATAGAGTTGAAAGACTATCAAGTTTAAGTATTGCCTTCTTATTGCCCTTATATTGCTTTCCTATCGTACCTCTATTGTTGTCTTAACTCTTTTTTCACCTCTGTCTTGACAATTATAGAGCTGAAGTTGGACTTCCAGGTTTACGTATTGCCTTCTTATTGCCCTTTTATTGTATTCCTATTGCTCCTCTATTGTTGTTTTAGCACATTGTTTTTCACCTCTGTCTTTGCAATTACAAAGTTGAAAGACTATATTAAGTTTAAGTATTGCCTTCTTATTGCCATTATATTGCTTTCCTATTGTACCTCTATTGCTGTTTTAACTCTTTTTTCACCTCTATCTTAACAATTATAGAGCTAAAGTTGGACTTCCAGGTTTACGTATTGCCTTCTTATTGCCCTTTTATTGTGTTCTTATCGTTGCTCTATTGCAGTCTTAGCACTTTTTTTTTTAATGTATGTCTTGGCAAACAAATTGTAGTTAGACTATGAATTCTTTGTATTGCCCCTTTATTCCACTGCCCTTGTATTGCACCACAGTTCAATTTAAATTTCTAGCCACCTGGCCACTTGCTTTACGTGTCTACACCAATCATGCACATAAACATCATACATACACATTCAATAAATGTTATAAATAGCTGCATCATGATCTATACAATTGGGTACCTATAAGGATACCTATTTCCAAAAACAAAAATAGCGACATGTTAGGAACACAAATTTTACATAAAGTTAGGTAGCAAATATCACCACTTAATGGAATAAGACATACAAACTAAACAATTGTAATATCTAAATGAT